AACTAATTTGACGATTTAATTAAATTTTGTTAAATTATAATATATTCTGTAGTTTTCTTATGAATAAAATACAAATAAACAATTATAATTTGTTAAATAAAAAATAGTAATACCGTTACGTGTGTATTTACGGCTCCATGGGACACAAGGAGAAAAAACATACGTAACGTTACGGACGCAATCCCTAGTAACTTTTGCGGACTTCCGGTGCGGATTACGGATTACGGGTTCTATGTGACGCCAGCCTAAGTTCGTGCTTAAGACGATCTTGAATATAAGAACGGACTATGAATACCGCCCTAAGTGTCACCCTGTATACGCTATAATTCTCCATCTAATAGGAACCAAAATGGCGGATGAGAATACCTACATATCTAGTGCCTTAGTATTACACGATAACGCCCTCTCAAAGGAATATTATAAAACTAAATTTTCAAACTCGATGAGCAATTAATTTTTGTTAATTTTTTATTTAAATTTTACAAATTTGCTGTATATTTTGTATAAAGATAATAGTCATCTTTTTGAATGAAAAGCTGCAATTTCCTTTTAATATGAAAGCGAATATATATATATGTAATTATATATGTTTATAAAAATATATATATAGTATATATAATGTATTTTGTAAATAATTAAAAATTATTCAAATAATATATGCAGTACAGTTTCTGTGATTATAAATTTTACTGTGTATAATTAATGCTTAAGAGGATGCTGGAGTTCTGTTTTACCACATGAATGCTGTATTTTTCCTGACTTTTTTCTAACAAATACAGCTTTTTTCTGCCTGCATAGAATTAAAAATCCTTTTGCAGAATTAAAGAGCACACAAAAAGGGAATTCGCGTTGGTCGAAAAAATTCGGAAAAATAAAGTTATTTATAACATTAATTTTTATTGACATACTCTTAGGATAACATGTCTTTTAGAGCTATCAATTTTAGCTTTTTATAAAAGTTTAACGATTTTAATACACCGAATAAGAGCAGCGCGAATTGCGCACTGCATAATAAAATGTTATGGAACCATTAAAATTGGGCTGAAAAGTCTAATGTAAAAAATATTCTTGTCCGACTATTTTTACATACGTGTGCGTCCAATATCGGTATAACAGATGAAAAATAACAGAAGATTAGTTCCAGGATAATATCAGAGAGGCGCTATACAATAATATGCGAATATATACACGCACCACACATACGCATACACAATACATTCATACTTAGATTATGACTTATGCCGATAATATCACTCTAATTTTTAGTTCCATCGAAATGATGGCGCTTTCGCGTCGGAGTTCGTCAGGCACTCCAGCATCCTCTTAATATTAAAATATTTTAAATTTTATACAAATATATTCTGAAAAATTTATGCCTAATAATTCTATATAGAATACAAAAAAATAATAAATGTGACATTTATTAAATATCTTTTATATATTAAGTATGTGCGAAAAAATTATACAAACTGTAATTATATTTGTACTTGTCATATGGTATATAGTGAGGACTTTAAATGAAACTTTCTCATAAAGTAGTAATGAATTTAATTAATTCGCAGAGCCAAGGACCCATGATACTAGTGAACTATGGAGAACTAAGATACTTTTTATAAATATTTTCTTTATCCTTATTCATAAATATATAATTGTTATAACATACAAAATTTACGTCACTAAAATTAAGCGTTTCTTCATACTTGATGTTTTCTTTTTTCTTTTTTTTAATACAACACAGCAGTTTTTTATGATAGGTTTCGTACATGTAAACAGTATTAAAAAGACGAGTACAAGAAATTACACAATTCAATAACTGTTTTAATGTAATAATAATAATAATAATAAAATAATGATATATCAACTAATAATGTTATTAAATATTTTATACATATACAATAGCATCGCATTTGTAATGGTTCTCGTGTCTCGCCATTAGGAATTATTGTTTCATTGTAACAAAGATTTTATGTAAGTAGATGAGTCCTTTTTATATATATCGCCCAATTTACATAACAAAGAAAAGAAAGAAAAATAACAATAAAGAATATTTTTAATCTTGGCATGCTAATAATTTTAAATTTTATTTTTAAAGTTTTATTCATTTCTCTGATTGTCGCTAATAATATTGTGTTCTTATTCAAAATTTACTAGCATGTATATGTTATTCTAAGATTCAAGCATAATTACGTCCGTTAACTTAAATTATGACAACATGAGCGAGGAAGTTACGAACGCGCAGACTATTCTTGCGGTTTAGATTCCCTAAATGATTGTGTTAATAAAACTATTTTAATTTCATGAATTCCAGATCTTAAAAATGCAGTAGATTTGTATCGCTCCAAATAGTTACATAAAAACACAGAATCAAATTATCTTTAATTATTTAATCAAAATGGTTTTTTAATAGCATTTACATGAATACATAATGCAAGAATTATTTGCATACATCTTTTCGCTTAACGTCATAATTCAAGTTAATCAGTAATAGCCGACCCTTAAAGTACCTCTTGTATTCAAAATAATCTTGTCAAATTTCCACAAAGGAACAATACTGTTAACATAGATTTTCATATATATATATATATGAATATATATATTACAAAAAAATTTTTTCTTGTACGTATTTCTCTATATAACAGTAAATTCATTCATATAAAGGATATCCGAATATATCTGTGTATGTGTAAATAGCATACTTCATAATTCAATTAAATTATTCAAAGTCAAAATATCAGTGTAGATTTAATTCGCTGCTTAATCTTTTGCATTCGAAAATCTTAAATTGTGATTTTCCAAATTATTAGATTCTCAAATGTTTAATTTACACATTCTCTTGAATCTTCAGTATTTTAAGATTTCAAATTATTCGTAGTTTACAATTCTCAAATTTGAAGACGTGCAGGTATTTTTAAATCGTGAAACTTTGTCCTTCAGTTACAAAATCATTTATTTTATACAAATGGAAATTGCTTTAAGCTGAAGTTTTATTTAAAGAAACGATTTATTAAAATCGTAAAATAAATCAAATATTATGGTAGCATATGTTTTGAGACATCTGCATGAATCTGAATATATGTGAGTGTATATGTTGAATGTCATGTATGTGTGTGTGTGTGTGTGTGTGTATGTATATATATATATGTGTGTGTGTGTGTGTGTATGTGTATGGTATGTATATCAAATTTATTTTAAGTACATAAACTACCGTCTACTTCATAAAAAATGGTATATTTATATTCTTAGATTCTTGGATTCTTATATCCTAGGATTCTTGTGTCCTTAATATGTATAACTTCTAAATTTTTAGAGAAAGCAGTCTAGAATCCATAGAATCTTAAGACGCTGGAAAAATTTCCATGTTTAAACGCTCCGATACGAATAAAGTCTTGGAAGCTATAATTTGTGCAAAATTTTAATCCAGAGATCTGTATATGGATTACAAGTTAATCGACCTGAGATGTTTTTTTATCAAGTTCAAGAAGTTTTCTTGTAAATGTTCTGCGTCGATATCAAATGTGAAAATGCATCTTATCATTATCACTTGTAAATAGTAGCTCTTTAATGCACAAGTTTATAAGAAAGTGAAAAAACCGTATTCTTGTTGCTTCGTAAAGGCATGTCTCCATTCTTCTGATATGGAAGATTAAAAGTTCGAACTATCATAATTTTCTTCACGTTACTGTTTTTTTAAATAATAGAGCCCAGCACCAACACTGCTTTACACGCTGTTGTATCGATATATGCACGAAAAATTTAAAGAAATTAAAAAAGGTAATTAATAATAATCATATTAAAGTGCACATTTCTACAAGTTTTTCGTGCATAATTACGTTATTCGCATGTAAACCGGGCTTCTTAAGTAATAATAATAACAGTAATATACAGGACTCGATTCGCAAAATAACGCGATGTACAAAAAGTTGCGTTTGAAGGATTAGTATAGATTATGTAAATCCATTTACATAAAATCTTTGGCAAAGATGTTAATCATTGATCCATATTTTGGTAAATACAAGAATAAAGAAAAAATTATCAGCTGTTTTATTTTGATAGAAACTTTTAAAAAATTTGACAAAATAAAAAATTGTGTATAAAGAAATAAATATAAAATATTTTAATGGGCATTTATTACTTATACAATCCAATCCATTTATGAAACATGATACCAATGATTATATTATTATATTATCCATTGATTTATAGTAACTAAAATTGAATAATATATATATATATAAATAAAATATTAAACTAATATATTGTCCGATATATCAGTAAACTTTCTTTCGCAAGATTATCTTTATATATGACCAAGCAAAAAATGTTTTAAAAAATTACATTGCACAATAGGCGACGTTTATCCTCGTGTTTTGCAGAGAAAAATAGAAAAATATTGTTAAGGAAAAAAATCTGTGAATAGCAAAGATCTCAGAATCATATTATATTTTAATAATGCACTAAATTCTCATTAATTAAAAGAAGTAACATCATTTATAATGCCACTGTTAAATTCCAGTTTTACAAGAATTATCAAATAAATAAAACAGCTAATGACTTTTGCTCCTTTCTCCTGTATGCATGTAATATTATCGTCCGCAGTAAAGAATTACTCTCGTGTCTTACACACGTCTATGCGTCGTCTGTTTTTCAGTTTTTTACAAATAATTTTGATTTCTCCCGTTATGCGGGAGCGTTCCAGCACCGCTCGTGAAATGCACCAAATCAAGGATATGATCGATGAAACTTTTTTCAGCCGTGCTTCAGCCGACGCTGTCGCCCATTACTTCGGTTTCCGCCTTAAGTTCAAGGTTTTCCGCGTCTGTATCTGCTGCTTCTCCGCGTGCATCGACAAACTCCTGTCAAAGCATATTATAAAATGCAAAAAATTAAAAATAATTCTCAAAATTTGCAGTTTCGTTATTTCTAGTTTAAAATGTGCTAACTTTGAAGTAAAATGCAATTTTATGTTCTTTTATCCATCATATAATTTTTTATAAATAACTAGAACATAATATTGCCTACCAAATAATATATATCATAACATTAAATTATAAATCAATAAATTTATATGTTTAATATAATTAAATTTTTCTTACATCACGAGTAAGGTCATCGGTGTAGCTGTCTTGATGCACAATGTCATCTGTACAAACAACGAATTATACATTATTAGATTGCTTCACAAAAATTTACACTTTCTTTTAAATGTATTGTATAAAATTATACTAAATAATTACAGTTAAAATTAAGAAAAATAGAAGACTAACCGAGTGTTGTTTGTGTGTAAGTTGTCGTAGATATCACTTCCGAGAATTCACGGCGTTGTACGTCGGTATCAAGTGCGTGAATACGTTCTCTACTTCTACGCAATTCTTTCCGTAACCTCTCCCGCTCCTCCTCTCTCTTTTTTATAATTTCCTACAATTCACAAAAATTTTAGAAGACGTCTTGGAAATCGGGAAAACGTCATATTTACCAGGAGTTGTGACAGTTGTGAGAGCTGGGATGTGAGGTAATTACAAATCGGCTGCATCATTCCCATGACTGATTGTTGAGGATGTGAATGGTTTCGTAAAGATGGGCAACCGGTAGCTTCGCACGCAGAAGATGATAATGCCGATGCCCCACGCGACGCGAATACCGTCTCTATTTCGCTCACGTTTAGTGCAGAGTTCAACATGCTCACTAGCTGATCCGCTGCAAAATAAAAACGCAAGTTTGCTGTATAAAATATAAGCTTATCCAAATAATTACAACAAATACTATTAGTTGGCTATCGGTAATATTAATAAAATAATATATATTATTAGTTTTTGCACAAAATTATATATAATTTATATATTTTAGTCTATGAATAAAATATGATACAAATCTTTTCAATCTTTTAAATTTATTATTTTTGATATACTTTTGTTTTTTTCAGTAGTATTCGTGCAAAATCAAATATTAAATAAATAAATACTTTGGCTGATAGAAGCGAGTATGAGTTCAGTAGGTTCTTTTTCTGCAGAGGATGGTTCAGATGCTATGTCTGCGACGTGCTCGAAGTCTTCTTTAGGAATATTTAATATATCCGCCACCAGTAACTGTTTCTCAAGCAGAGCCTGTTTGATTATTTCGTCCTTACGTCTGAGATATTCTGAAAAATTCCAAATATTCACATTCATAATTTGTTTCAATCATTAAATGGTAATCTTGCTTCGGCAAAATTGTACTATTAAACAATTTCTCTGATAGATTTTGTATTGAAAATGATTAACTACTTTATATACTGTTATAAAAAAAGCTGCGATTACGTCACACAGTCACAAATATATATTTCCACCTGTTTCAACTCTGAAGCATTGGCTCATATTTACGTAATGTTAATGCTGTTGTAATCGATGACGCAGTTGTGTATTAAATATCAAAGTTTAAGAGTTAAATTAGAACGAAATATATTGAAATCATTGAAGGAGGAAGTTTATACCTATTGGTGTAAAAACCGGTTCTGCAACATGCACTGGTGGTACCTCCACGTGAACTTCTAATGGATCTATCAATGAGAGCTGAGTGCACGTGACCATTCGTAGCGGCTCTGTCATACCTATATGTAGCCAAACAAAAATATTAACATTACTATATTGTAAAAATAGCCATGCGTCATCTTCCTAAACATGCACAATACAACCTGTCGTTGGCGATTCAGCCGCCTGCTGTTGCACAGTCGACCGCTGTTGCGTTTGTTCAGTCGTGGGAGCGGTGGCTTCCGGTTTCTCCTCGTCATGCTCCTGCGTAGTATTTTGCTCATGTTCCCTCGATTCTCTATCCTGCGACTGATCTTTCTCAGCAGTCGTGTTGTCCGGCACTTCCGTCGCGGAGGGCGATGCGTCTTCCGTTGGCTCCTCCGGAAGCGTGGTGGACGGTGTTGGTCTTCTGCCTTGGCGATCGCGCGTCTTGTAAGCATCCACAGCCTCGGAGATGTGCTTACACCAGCTTTTGCGCTCCGCAGAGGACGGCGCCACTAGATTGTACATCTGCGCGCCGTTCTGCGAAGTGTTGACCAAATAAAGAGAATCCTTCTCGGCGGCATTATGACGCACCAGTACGGTGGACAACTTGACGATCGGGCTGAGTACGGAATTGCCCGCCTGATTAGTCGTATTGATGAACTTAAGCAGATACTTGTCGTCCTGCCGATGCAGGAAGAAGATTGTGTCGTCGAGTAGCACCACGTGCAGATCCACTGGTTTCGGCACCGAACGATTCGGCATCGATCGATTCGGTTCGGTGCGCCGCCACTGAAGCGGCCCCTCGTAAATCAGCTTGCGTTTCGTGATATCAAGGTTCTTAAACTCCTGCACGGTCGGATGGTCAAATTTGTCAAAGGCCGATCGATCGATCGTCCGTTGGATCTCAGTCAGTCGTTGGTGGTCCTCGGCTTCTTTTACCGCTTGATTCACGCGACTTAGAATTTCCTTGCTGCGTTCCAGGCTACGAAGCACGGCTGCCTTCTCCTTCTCGTTACTTTCCGGCGTGTACTTGGCGAGATTCTCGAAAAGTAACGGATATTTGGTGAGCCGCAGCATGCCAGTGAGTATGTGATCCTTCAACTGCAGCCGGCGACACAGCGGATTTGCCTCTATTTCGTTTAGGAAGGCGTTCAGCTTGGAATCCTTGCGTCGACGATCGCGTAGAGCATCCAGAGCGACCTGCTGCTTAGCGCAGTAAATCGACGCGGCCCTTTCGAACGCTTCACCGGCCTCGCCGTCGAACATCTCCAGCAGGAGTTCGCCCACATCACCCACGCACGGATTTTCCTTCTTCTTTCGCTTCATCGATTGGTTAAAACGCGAATGGATCATCAACATCTCGTCTAGATTCGAGAAAAGCAGCTGAATCTGATCTAATGGCAGCACTTGAGAATCCAACAAAGGCTTGTGGAAAACGTGCGAAAGCACTTTCAATGCGCGAACGTGAGAGCGTTCGGTGTGAAATAGTTCTGAAAAAAAAAGATTTTAATCAACCAACGTATGTTACAGAGCGCTGACTGCGTTAAGGATTAATCAATGCCATTCAAATGACGACACTTATTAAAATTTGAATAAGACTTGGAAAAAAAGTGCTGATTGATGAAATCAGTCCGTGGACTAATTAATGTACGAACAGTTTTATCGAATCGATAATTTACCGTTAATAACTTCCTGTCTCTTTTTCTCGGAATTGCTGAGCTGCGCGAGAACGTCTTCAGCGACAGCCTGGCTCCAATCCGGTGGATCAGCCTCGACATCGACATCGCTGTCCCACGAAGTTGACGCGTTCGCCGCCGATGTGGTGGGATGCACCTGTTCCAGGCTAGTACTGGGGCTGTCCAGACTCCTCGTCGACAGGCTGCTGTTCGATGAACTGCCAGCAGAGTTCCCGGGGAACGTGCCGGAAGGCTCGCAGTCGCTGGAACCGACTCTATAGTCAATCGTTAGCAGTTTATGCATTTTTGCTACTTGCTAACTATAACATCTACTGTCTTCGAATATTGTTGACACGATTCGCACTATCATATCGATCTCATCAACGAAACACATCCAGATCTTCAAAGAAGCCATTCAAAGAGGACATATAGATATATATATGTCGTGAAGCTTTGAGAACCAAGTTTCTCCCTATCTTTTCTCCAGAAAATTACACTTAAAACTTTTAGAATACAATAAATTTAGAAAATATCCTTATATTACAATATTCAAAATATTCACAAAATCTTTTTGTTGGAAAATTTATATCTATAAAATAAAAGATATAGAATAATAGAGATAAAAAATCTTAATTCTTTCACATTTCATGCTAGGAAAATATTCTGGATGCAACATTTTGAAATAAATATTTCTAAAATTAATCTAAATTTATATTAATAATCTAAGACCAATAAGTTAAATTTGCTTGACAAGCAAAACTTGTCTATTTTATCAGGAAAACAGATTTTACTTAATATTCGTCAAAATAATAAATCTCATTCTATTTTATATGCAGTAGCCGAAACTGCAGAAAATACCTCTCCGACCTCGTACGTCGCTCATTAAGACGGCGTAGATAATCGCGCGCAGCGGCGACAGCGGTGTTGACAGCGTCGTCGCTCGGCGCAGACATTTCGGTGACGCTTTCGTCGGCATCCGAATACCTCTTTGGGGTGGCGTCAGCCGACTGATCCGCTGAGTGTGGGGCCGGTTCCGATAACGCCGGATTGCCCGAGTTTTCATTGCCGTGAGAAGCGGGTCGAGGACGGACACGCTGCGAGCCGCGCTGCCTCATTTCTTTATCTCCCTTTAGCCCTTCGAGGGCTCAAACGTCACGTCACAACACACGATACGAAGAAACGCGCGTATCCGCAACCCTCCGTATGCACTCAACATAAATAGTCTCACAAAACTTCTTTTCGGCTTACGACTCACTACGTTTTAACGAACTTCACATGTTTATGTTATAAAATAATACCGCTGGCAGAGAACGTTTACTGAAAACATTTGATTGGTGGATATAGTCAGATTTTAAAGGTCGCTGGTTCAATATTGAAGGCCGTGAGGTATTGAAGCAGCGCATTGGCATTTCAACCTAAATTGTATGAGGTAACGCTCCCAATAAAGAGAGACCTTTAAAAAAAAAAAAAAAAAATAGAATATCCGCGAGATATTCTTTGACAAATTCGGTAAAAATTTTGCCTCAGTAAAAATATCCCAAAAAGCTCGAAAGCTGTATTCAACCCTCAGCGGGTATTCGAAGAAGCCTTTAAAAACTACTGATATAAAATATTATTATAATTAATAGGTTTTTTTTTGGAAACTATATAACACGCCCCGATCTTTTACTGAAGAGAAATGAAATACTATTTAGAAATAATAATTGATATCTAAAATATCAGCAAGAGAAATCGTAGTGCGCTCACGCGCAACGCATATAGACGTACGTACGTACACAAGTTCACAGGCTGAGGCTGAGGATACTATATACAGGATGTCCCTCCCTAAGCGCACCCACTAAATGGCCGAAGAATCCACAGTTCAAAGGAAGTGAGCTTAGCGAGAGACACCCTGTATAATCGTATCGATTCGTACGTATCGATCGCTTCGGAAATAAAAGCCAAGACGTATCCGTGCTCTGACATCACTCCGTTTACCAGCGTGCACACGTATTAGACAGACCCGATAAAAACGGATCGCTTTCTTTCTTCCACCACCTTATCGATCCTTTAAAATAGATAGGCGTAAAATAGAGTAGCATTGCTCTCGTTGAAACCTTCCATTCCGCGAATGACCGGCGAATTTTTTGGATTTTTTTACTCTTTCGTCGCTCACATCGAATTGTGTTTATTTGCAAAGACCGGGTAAACTATTTTTTTATAGATAGATTTTTCACTTGCATGACTCAAATCCTAATCTTTATAACTGTGAATCATTCGATTTTATACCTAGTTTCCCTCAGTGTATTTTATTCGATCTGTGCCATTCAGTTCATTACTATAAAAATAAATTTGTATTGTACTCTTAGTAGAATTAAATTCAATATTGATTTATGTGTTCGAGAACAATTAAAAAATTATTAGCGTATAGATTATGTTCACTAATTTGCTCATTATTAAGCTGAATGTTGTAAACATTTCTTAAGATTTTTTGTTCCTATCCTTATATTGAGACGCAGTACTAATTTTTCTTCCTTCTTTCCCTTCTCTTCTTTTTCTCTTATTGGATTGGCACCTTTGACCGTGTATCTATGGACTGCTAATTATTGTATCCACATTTTTTGTCATACTTGATAAAAAGCAAGCTAAAACTGTGCACAATTTGTGCACACGTGGCTTCCAAAACTTGTGAAAGTGAAATTAAGAAAAAGAAGTTACGCGTAGAAACATATCTAATAAATTTTATTTAATGTTTTTCAAATTTACTCAATAATCGAACAAATAAAATAAAAAAGTTTAAAAAAAAACAGCTGACAGATATTTTATTTTTACGCGGATGACGATTGACAAAGCGAATAACCGAGAATATTTGTCGACCAATTTTGTTCCATTGAATACACAGCTCATTAGCAGTTCATACTTACATTGTCAAAGGTTGACAGATTGCTGGATGGCTTCGGTTCGGACGTGCCTGCGCGTTTTCTTTAAGTAATCTCGAGATGTTCACGAATGCAGACGCTGCTCATCTCAAGCGCCGACGAATCCGTTCGTCGTTCACGCTACACATCATCGAAGCTACAGTTATGAGCACTATTACGAGTTCTCTGGTTCACTGTATAAATAACCGCGTACAACACAGCTTTTTCTTGCGGTTCTTACGAATCTAAGTGATCTCGAAGTATGTACCTTAATACACGATTCATTGATATATTATTAGTCCTCCCCCTGTATCGGCTGCCAATTATTTGGAAAACGATGATCGTGCGTTTCTTGGATTCAGATATCGACAGTCGCGTGTTTCTTAAATTACTCTCTTAATTGACTTCCTGAGATAAAAGTGGAAAAGCTCTGCAGTCTTAACTTAGTTGCGGCGTTCCACTAAAAATACTCTCGTACTTACGTCTCAATTTCGTCTAGTTAAATTGGGATATCATTAATCTCGAACAAAATAACAGGCTTTACCGGAATGTTTCGATCGCGGAACAAGGCTCCTGGGAATAATGGGAGTGTTCTCCGCGTACAAGTAAACCGGAGCAAAAAAGTTATTTGTACTGAAAGGTAAAAGAAATTAACTTTTTTTTTCAATTTTAAAAACTTTTTTTAAATGTAAATTTGTTTTCTGTTCTTTATAAATGTATTATTTTATTTACATAATTTTGATTTGTTAGAATAATCAGAAGTCTTATTTTGTTTATGAACTAATATCAAATTGATACTAAAATATTCTGCACTCTGTTGTCAAGGCTTTGTTTAGAACAAATCGTTTCCGTTGTAGCACAAAAATACTAATTCGAAATAACGTCCGAACGATATGGAAATGCTTCGCACACTGACCAGCTCTGTTATTCCTATATTAATTATAATTCCATTCAAAAAAAAACATTAGACTTTTTAGGAATCTATATATATATATATAGTTTCCCAACCAAAAAAAAAAAATATCCGCACGTATCTCGTCAGAAACACAATTTTGTCAAAGAGCGAGTGAAAAACGACGTTGGCTGATATTGAGTTGGAAATCGAGTTGGACCACTGACAATGAGTGCGATATTGAAAGACACGTAGGAGTTTTAACCGATGAATTTGGCACAACTTTTTTACCATTGAGTAATCAGAAAGGAGATTAAGAGAGCGGCTTGACTGGTAGAAGTGGATTTTGAAACGAGAGTGAAGACGCGTGATTGAATTCTCGATCGGGCTAAATGGAAAGCGACCGTTTCAGAAGCGCTCGAAAAGCGTGGGTGTTTTGTGCCGTCGAAGCGACGCAATAGCCATCCGCGAAATTGAACGTTTAACGTCACACTGAAGGCCTTCTGAACGAAGGCTCTGTATACACACCTTCGCAGAAGAAACGATGGCATAAGCCGAGTCTGCGCTCTTCGCACGTGTTCATCATGGAAAAGCGATGTGGAGGCGAGACGAAAAAGAGGAACGCTGCCAAAAATTCACGGACCTGCGTTTCATACGGCTCTAGCGACACATAAGCGAGTCTCAAGCATCTAGTCATCTGGTCGAACTCCATTTTTAACGCCACAGTAATAGTCGCGCGAATATAGCAAGTTGCTTTCCGTCGATATGATAGCACGAATGTTTTATTCTTCTTGCGCGCAACAAGTTACACCACAAAACATTTCAGAACGGTTCTTTTTAGCTGCACTATGTCGTACTTACCACATTTGAAACCGAATATATATATATTCGGGCATTAAAACTGAAGTAAAAAAAAATATAGGAAGTGCAGCTAAAACAAAACATGTTATTTTTCAAATAACTTTTTAAAGGGCATTTTTCCTTAAAAAGAGCATCCTCACATTTATAGACTCCTCGAACGTTAAGTTTGGAAGGTTTATAAATCAAATAAAAAAGAATCAATCCCATAAATTGGTTCAATTAATGCGTCAAATAATAATTCAATTACTAATTAATTAATTAATTTGTAAGACGTGAAAGTAGGTGAGATTTCGTGAATTATCTTACTCATGTATTCCGAAATACATTTAGGCACGTCAGTATAATGATATTCCAATGTGGTTCCAGAGACGTAAAAACAAACTGTCTTGGCAGACAAACTTCCAAGTCCTATTTAACGCTCGAGCATTCGCAGTCAGTTTTAGTAATACTGTAAATAAATATTTATTGTGATAAAAGTACTCACTTTGTTTTGGAAAGATTCGGATCGCTGGTCTTCCTTTTCTCTCTCAGTTGCCGCTGCAATGTAAAGAGTCCAACTTTAGTTATACATTAATTTATAATTACACTAACATTAGTCGTTTTGTTGCTGCATTAATATAACATTGTGAGAAAAATGATTTGTATAAATATATGCCTAATTCTGAATGGTTACCGAGATAGAATAGCTTGGTGTTGTTATGCCATGAGGCTGAGTGTCTATAAACAATACGTTTAGTTACCTTATGATGTATCCGCTCCTTGTAACTTTCAGACCTGTTGATGTTTGACGTCTTTGGCTTACTGGAAATATTTTGCTGGACCCTAAGTAATCGTAATTAATAAAGCGTAAATTAATGTCCACGACGCAAGCAAACTGCCGGATGCATAAGACAATATTCACTATAAATATCGATATATTCGCGATACGTAAAAAAGAATAATCCGGAAATCCAATTATTTGAGAATATATGCGGCTAAAACTCGACAAACGAAAAACATTATTAAGAAAAAATGTACAACTGAAGAATGCAGAAATTTATAAATCTAACGTCTCAGCTGCATATAAATTTAATGCTTTGTAAAATTACGGGGACAAAAACTATTAGAATAACTATAAATTTGAAAAAATAAACAAGTGTACGACAATTTCTATGAAAATATAGGAAATTATAAGTACAAATAGAAATAAAAATGTGCCACGTCTATCTAGATACATACATTTCGGAAATATCTTCTCGCGACGAAGGATTGTCCATATTATCGGCATGATCACCGGTTCCTCCTAAACCGGAAATTCGTGCTCTCTCGCAACTGCTGCGAGCATTTCCGGCCGCGCGTTGTTCTCCTGAAATTAAAAATATCAATGTGAAATTAAATCCAAACATATATTTCAAACATTTTAGCGTAAGCTGCTTTATTCGGGCTTTTCTCTAGAACTCAGGGATTGATTTATATATATTTTTCTTTTCAATTTAAATTTTCTAATTTTTTGCTTATAATTTTATCTTGATATAAAGTAAAATATTTTCTCGCTGCTAGATTGTTTTCAATAAATGTTAATAATTTCAAGAGATTGATTAGTTTAGAATTTTATAAAATATATACAAACATTATATGTTATTCTTTTGTACCAATTTTCTCTCAATTTCCAATAGTGATAAATGTTTACTACACAACAATATATAAGTGATAAATGCACTATAAATCACTTGAATACTATTTTACTTATTAAAAACTATACAAAAACTCGTACAAATGACGGATAAAGCAGAAAAAGAAGCAATGTGCAAGAGTAAAACTGATAGCAGACTGACTTGTTCAGAGCTCACAAGTGGTATTCACGCGATAAAACACTGATATTATTGAGAGCGATATATGAACAGGGTCGTAGCATCCAATCAAAGCTTTCTGATGTTCAACTATTGACACGTTAATCTGTAAGTCTTTATTCTTAAAAAATATTAATTTTACTAATATTATTAATATTATAAATATAAAAACATAAAAATAGCAATATTATATATTGTTGAAATATAAATTTATCACTGTTCTACTACTATTTTAGTTTAAAATAATATTATCGCAAATCTGATTGATTACTTATCTAGCTAGATTATTTATCTTATTTTTTATTTATTTAACTGTTCATTAGCTCGTGTGCAAAAAATAAAACTACGCAAATAAAGATGTGAGAAACAAGAAAAAAGAAACTTACCATTTTCTCCATCCGTTAGTGTGCCGGAATCGTCTTCGCTTCTTTTGATTTTGTCGACTGCAAAAAGGCACAAAATAACAATAAATTTATATAATTCAAAACTACAACTCAAATTTAATTTATTTTAAAATTCTACTAATTACTATTAGTATAATTCTTAAAAAGAGATTATTGTATAATGAATATAATTCTTTGTAATTCTTCATATCAATAATTTTTTTCTTAATTATATAGATAAAAATTTAATAATTAGTAAACTAATGATTGGCATCTATTAAAGGTTATTACGATTTAAACAAAATATTCAAAACTAAGCTTACAGTGTAATATATGGTTCTGGGAATGATGATGATGGTGGGACGACGGAGGCTTCCTCTCCGGTCGAATACGCTCCATCAATTTACTAATTCTATCATTAGCTCTTTCCTTTCGCACCAAAGGTCCCGGGCAATTTTCTTCTACCACACGAACACACTGTCGATGTACACTGAGGGAACAATCTGTCAATCAATTAGCAAACAATATAGTATCTGTCGTACACGTTACATATATCGTAAAATGATGCTAACTTCAACGTCAAGAATTGTTTTGCTTTTATTTACAATTTTTTAAATTTAGAATTAATTCTGCGTCAATATAAATATAAATAAATCAATAATTTTGATAAAAAAAGTAATAATTTTATTAAAATCAAATAACTTTCAAAACTAAATTTAAAAAATGCAAGTATCTCTCCAAAAATCTTAGTCTTTATTAAATTTAAAATAAATTTTATTTGAATAAATAGCGTTCCTTATGTGCAATTAAATTGTAATGTTTTATAGCTTTATCTTCCATCATGATAAATTTCAAAATATAAATTAATGATCTTATTTTTATTATTACAAATTGAAAACACAAGTATAGTCGCTTATTTTATAAACATTATAAAAGAAGCGTAAAGAGCATTCATTTTCGAGAAAAATCTCTCGGAAAAATCTTGTTCGCTATAATACATTTTACATACCACTGCATAAATATCCTTGAGGACCAATGCCACCGATAATAAGCTGACAATGATTGCAATAAGTTATCGTGAAGTATTGATGCGCCACAAAATGATGTCCTCTGATTGTCATTTTGCGCGTTTTTCCAGTAAGCAGTCGTGCTTTAATGTTGGATTTGTCTTTCGCGACAAAAGTAGGCACTCGATCTGCCCATACCGGTCGCAATTGGAAGATCTTTATTAATATCGTAGCTAGACCAGCTGCCGTTGTGAACAATCGCAAATCCACTTGTTCTTTCTCTATATCCTCTCTGAAATTAAAAAAAAAATTGTTTTCTGTTATCTTTTATTATTTTATATGTTTACTCTTCAGATATGTCTCCTAGTTATCGATTAATTATCGTGGAAATAGTTATAGCGTTGTCAAAGACAACATTACGATTATTGCGCATTTCGTTGACAATCTTTTATTAACGCTTTTAACAATGTCTCATTAAAAAAATGATAAAATGCAAGAATCTTACAAATAAGGTTCCATCTTCGGTAGAAGATACGTCTCGATAATTTTTGTTTCACGCGCTTTGTCAGAAATGCTCTCATCAAGTGAAATGTCAGTAGGGCCAAAAATCGTGGACAACCCTGCGGTTCTTTTCTGCTGGAAATGCGTCAACTGTTCATTCAATTCTTCCTTCGCTCTAGTACGTGCCTTCCAGAATATCTATAGAAATCAATAAAATTTTCACTATTTAATTTATCATAAACTTTTCTGCTGTAATGTTTAAAAATGGGAATTTAAATTGCATATTGATGAATCATTTTATTACTTTGACGTACCTTCCTGAGAATTTCTTCTTTATCGAATTCTTTCACGAGAACGTCATCTATCTCATTAGCGACATTTTCATCTACATTATGCAGACGCAATGGCTAAACAAAAAGTATTAGTTATATTAATTATCATTTATTTATAAATATAATACTTATGATTAATTAATATATCTCAAAACAGATTTTATATTCATAAAAATTTCAAAAGATTGTTTTTCCATTTAGAATAAAAAATATGAAAAATAATTTATATAAAATCTAAGGAATGTAACGTGTTATTGAATTACTTACCGCACCAGGTACTAGAAAACTAGAATGAATCTCGTATGCCCACTTTCTCATTTCTTTGGCATTTCCCTCCTTGTATAAATCCGTTACTAAATAAAATAACTGCAAGAATGTGTTAAATTAATAAGCTGCAAGAATGTAAACATTTGCATGTTTATGTAATTGCTTCGTTGGATCACTATTATACGTACCAGGCTAGAAGGATCACTATTAGATAGTACGTAGTTAATAAATACAGCGAGATGCGCATGATGTCCCCACAGCTTGGATAAAGACTGGAACGGTCCGTGATCTTCTAATTGACCCTAAAGCATTAATAAGTTGCAGATGAATGTCTGAGAAGCATTTAGCACACAAATTTTCTTCAACAATAACTTACGATTTCTTGATCGCTGACATCGTCTTCTTCCATTGACATAATTGGCTGTTGGAACGCTGGTAATCCCGGAATGATATCAGTCGCAAGTGTCTGTTATTACGAAAAAATATGATTAAAAAAACGAATGAACAATAATACTTATCGTTATTATATAGATAATATACAAAACAATTTCTTAGATTAGTAATGCAACTAGAAACGAGATAAGTAAATAAAAATTCAATATTTTTTATAATGTAATATAATCGTAATGAGAACTTAACAACCTTAATAAGCAGGTTTAATAAACAATATATAATTAATAAATACAGATAAAAATTAAAAATCTATTTACATCGTTTAATGTAGATGAGAAGATATCTTGGCCCAGAACGGGGGCTGGATACGGTGGCGGCGGTGTGCCCGGTGGTGTGATACGCGGTAATTCGTTGATATCGATATCACTATGCCTGATGTGTCTTGGAGGCGACAAATCATTCATCGATTCAGAGGCAATCAAACGTCTACTAGCCTCCGATGGAGACATTGCTGTGGTTCCCAATTGCTCCGGACTTGATTTTGTTCGTTGGTGTTTATTAAGCGCACTTGAAGCACTCAAATTAGCATCTTGGGAAAACTGAAACGTAAATTATTATAAGTCACGGCACAACAATGTCACATAAATTAAAAAAAATATATATATAAATATTAGGTATATTTTATGTACATAGGTATATATATATATATATACATTTTCACATATTATATACATACATTTATCAAAAAGCATAAAATAGATATAAAACAGGCTATTAATGTAATGGTATTGGGTGATTAGACTACTTACAGAGTTAGGAATACCATGACTGACAGTTGAGGGCGTTAAGTGAGTCAGCAGATGTCGATCCAGCTCCGGCTGGGCTGTGTTTTGCGTGTTTATGGCGGGTGGAGGTCTGGGAGGCAAAGGTGGCGGAGAGAGACTTTGCATGGACAAGGATTTACGCGATGGCAGTGGGGGTGGTACGTCAGTACCACTACCGGTGTTTTGAGATGGGTAATAGCCCGAGGAGCACGAGGTATTTGTTACCAATGAGCAAAGCTGTAAGACACAACAAAAGGTTGCTGTTATCGAAGAGGCAAAGCTGTAAGACACAATGATAGGATAGCAAGTGGGCAGAAGCTTCAGTGCACTCACGAAAGGTCGACTGATATTTTAGAATAATCCACTATTGCTAGTGTATCCAGGAAAAAGAGAGAGAGATAATTTATATATACAGAATAAATCACCAACTAAAATATAAAACTTGAAATCCTACAAGTTTTTATAATTTCTTAATTTTTATTTCTCAAGCGCAGAACTGTATTTTCATCCGTTCTGATGGCTACTATTGGGCCCAATTCATTGTCTTATAACATAAGAAAAAATATCTCACATTAAAAGTTATCTAAAATAAAAAAAAAATATTAATTTTCCAATTTGCAAATCGGATTTTTTTCGAAAATAAAATTTTATATAAAAAATTTCTTTTATTCTACATATTTTTCACGCAGAATTATCCATCTTCCGGTTCTACCACCAACAACGGATCACTCTGTTCCCATCTTTTACTAGTAAAATTAGATGTTAGATTTAAACGCTCTCTAGAGCCTTAGCTCTACAGAACGTAATCGAATAAAAGGACACTAGTTTATTTGATTATGCCTATTTGATTTTTTACGTGTATTAGATTGGAGATAGATTAATGGTTTCCAATGAAAAACATATATAGGCAGCGGGTTTAACGTTGAAGAAATTTAATATACAAAAAGACGCACAATGAAGCTCGTAAATATGCAGACCTGTTCGTTAGTCGTGCTGATCGCCGTGAGCTGTTCCTGCAAAGTGCGCACTCTTCTTTCAGCACCCGCTAGCTCCGCTTGTACGGCAGTAACATTGGCGCCGCCACTACCAGTTCCAGTCTTCGCCAACTCACTCCGTAACTTGTCCACATAACTCTGTTCTTTTTCCAACATAAGCTGGAATGTGTGCACTCTTTGTGTTTCTAACTGCCGTTTCTTCTCGAGCTGCAAAAAAAAAAATAATATATCAATTAGAACTACCAAACCAACTCCTTTTAACTAGCTTCAATTTAAACGGTTTTGATTCCTGACATTAATTCACACTAACAATTATTATAATTCTACGAGACAGACGCTGATCGACATATGATACATTTCGCGTCGCATTTATAAATTGAAACTTACATCAACTGGCTGTGGGCCTGTGATTCGAGCATTACACGGAGCACCACTCGCTGGTGCTGTAGACGCTCTGTGAAGAGAAGAGGCCGGTTGTGAGGGCGACATGTTTCCAGCTGCTGATAGACTAACTGGACGTTGAAGTTGGCTCACAGAACCGACTGTTCCGACTTGCAATCCAGAAGCTGTCGTCGCTGTCGTTGCTGTCGCTACCACTGCTGCCGCGCCGCTTGCTGTCACTGGCTTCTGCTGCACCGTCAATACCACTTGCGTCGATGCTGTAACGTAATTTAATCCTTTCATATATGGTGTATCATTTACAATATGTACTAAAAACAGATTTAGTTTGCATGTCTCATTGTACGCATCCTTATACTCCCATGCTTTCTTACATCTATTTTCTTCTTTTACTTTTTCTATTCTTTTTGTACACACATCTTAATAAATGCAAATGGTAATTTTATGTTCAATTCTTAATTTCTGAATATTAATATGTATAAAAACGCAATTATAATTAACTCGGTATGTTTAAATTGTAAAAACATGTAAAATTATAATTAATTATATAAATGTTACATATCTGGAAAAAATTAATAACATACTATATCAATTTATCTACATTTCTCTTATTTAAATATTAATAGAAGAAAATTTACAAAAAATGATAAATCTTTAATAAAGTAAAAATAAAAAATGGAAGAATTATAAATAAACTTATAAGTACCCAGTTGTATTTAGTTCGTGTACAACCAAAACTTAAATTTAAATGTAAAACAATGGTAAATATTCATATATTAACAATGAATAAATCTTTACATTAACGCTAGAACAAATTTGAATTCTATATGATTTATAAGTTTAAAAATAAAAATTTTATAATATATAAGTTTAAAAATATTCATAAAGCAATCCCTATTTTAAATATTTGCTAAAAGTTTTTTTAAATTATATTAAGTTTAATTATTTTTTTCTTTTTTACGTTTTCTTCCAATTTTTGTCATAATGCAAATGCACACAATTTAATTAACGTAATTAGAATTTGACAAAATAAAAATGATATTAGCACTAATATCGCGTTTTAAAAATAAAAATGTTAATGTATCAATCTTGATCTAGAATGTATTAAATATATTGTAAGAATAATAAATAAGTTATTGTTAAGTAAATAGAGTTGTTACACAATTGCATCTACAACTTGTAAGATTATTGAGAAATATCATATAGATGCAGATAAATATGCATCTCAAGAAATAAACTTGACTCATCTCTGACATCACTTTGCACACACACACATATACACATATAGTTAACATATTTAAAAACATCTCCATTTCGTTGTCAATAACAATTATCACACCATCAATGCCAATTGTCAACAATTAATAAATATAAAATTTTATGCAAAGCTACGAATCTGTCACACGCGATATTAAGCTCGTAGCAGACTATGCCTTAGAGATTAAAGATTGCCAATTGGAGATTAGAATTCAATCTATCGGGACAAAGTAGGCTAAGATTCTGAGATTACTTGACTGATCGAATTCTAATCTCCATCTCACAATCTGAATTTCCAATGCATAACTTAATAGAATAGAATTCACGTGATTTTACGATGTGTCCGCTGAACACGCGTACATGTATTACACCTGCGTATAGTCGGAACGAGAGTGAGATAAACGACTGAAACGGTCACCGCTATAAACTCGTATGCTTACATCATTGGGGATGATTCTCGTGCACGGCTTTCCGTGCGCGTGACTACATAAAGCGAACAATGTACAATGGCCTCTTTTAATAAAATATCGATATAACAAACAACTAGTTTCCAATAAAACTTTTGTTCGCATTATTTATGAAAAAAAATCATAAAATAAAAAAAGATGCACAAACATCCAGTTGTCTAAACTATAAAATCCATTATGTAATAAATACTTGTCAAATATTTTTATAATTATAAATAAAATTATTTAGTTAAAATCATATTATAGCTGTTATTATCATTATTATAAAAGTAGTAAGTAGAGTAGTCATGAAAATGACCTGAATAGCAATGCGAGATCTTGTAGCAAAAATAGACCAGAAGGAAATGTTTACTTCTCACAACACTGAATAAAAAACTAAAATTTTTAATTAAATTTTAAATTATAAAAATTATAAAAAATTATATAAATTATAATGCACATTTCATCCTATAATTTTTCGTTAAAACAGATATTAAAAAATAGAATACTTACATTTTATGAGTTGGACTACATCGGTATGTGTAGACTGCATCACATTGACACCATTCACCTATAACACACACAAAAAAAGAAATATTTATATAGTGTATAATATTTCAATTAAAATCAAATTCAATTTAATCAAAGAATTTTATCATATAAAATTTAGGTATATAAATCTATACACAAATGCCATTAGCTAGTAAGATAATATAAAAGACAGTACGAGCATAAGATATAAACAGCCCACATGCAAATGTACACATGAAATGTTCTAATTTATGGAATAGAAACTTCCTGCAATTAAACATGAAGGTATAGCGCATAGTACACTGTAAATAACATTATTTCATAATGTAAAAGGGAAAAATAATTAACGAGTTTGTTGCTGCTCTTTCCCCCGTTATTTTTATAATTAGTTTATTTATTCACCTTAATTATCTTGTCACCCGCATGAAGACCAGCTCTTGCTGCTGCGCCACCTAAAAAGCATATAATTTTCATAAAAACATTAACAGTCTCGAAACATTTGATCATCCGCAAATATGCAGATAATTCAGTTCTTATGCGGACCTTCTTTTACGGACTGAACATAGACAGGATTGTCGCCAGAAACTTTCATTCCAAATCCAGCATCATCCTTATACACGACAAGAGTGGCGATGGGTGCTGGCTCAATGGCTCCACCACTGATGACGCCTGCACCAGCCCCGACGCTGCGTCGCAGCGCTGCCGTTCCATTCATCCCTTCTTCGGGCTCCACCTCGCCTCACCTCTGTTGCTACCGACCTGTGATAATTCTCACTCTTGTAATATACAAAACTGTTTTTTAATAAATGTGGATAGGATAATAATTTGTTAGTGAGTTTATTTTGCGCAACGCATATACCGCATGAATATAGATCGTAAATATAGTTAAGTATAATCACAAAATTAGTTTCGTTTATTTTTTACTTTTCAAATTTGTATAACAGTTAAATAGAAATGAATTGAAAATAACATAGCAAATATTTTTATTGATAAAATGCAATCAATATCTAAATATAATTAGAAATAATTAGAAATTTAAAATTGCGTAAATTTTAGTGATAAAATATTCTGAACATTGAAAAATGCGATATAGTCACAAAATCTTATAAATATAGCACAAATATTGTACTTTAACACAAATCAAATCAAATTTATTGTAAATACATTGTAATCAACTATAAAATCAAATATATTGTAATAACCATATAAAGATATCATTTTTCAATCAAAAATATTGCACATATATATTTTTTACGTATTTAAAAAAATAATAAAACAAAATAAAAAATGCTTCTAAGAAACACAAAAATTTAATAATAAGTAAGCCTGCAATATTTTGCTATAAGAGTTTTCAATAAAAAGACTTGTCCACAAGAATGTTTACAAGCATCAAACAAATAACATATTTAATTTGTTTATACATTTATTTCTACACATTTATATTTATATATACAAAAATTATTTGATTTATTTACTCTACAACTATATTTTATATATACGTATAGTTTTAATGCGCTAATGATTTTAATGCGTTAATGACTTTAATGCTAATAACTTTTATGCTGATGTGCAAAGGTGTGAACAATAAAATATATACTCTTGCGCTTATGCAACAATACAAAAATACATGCAACATCATCCTTAATTTTTTAAAGCTAAAAATTTGGTCAAAACATGATATAACAATAAGTAGCACACACATTAATAAGCAAAATATCTTTTTCTACTAATGTCTAAAATTTATAGATTTTACAATATATTCTTGTACCAGAATAATCACACTAATTAGATTCTAATATATAATTTAAATCGTTAAAAATGATGTCCTTATAATCGATATACCTACACATATACATATCAGATACAAATGTCACATTCCGATGTGACGTCATTCTTTCTTCATAAAAGATACAAGGACACAAAGTTAAAAATCTAGAAATTTAAATTTCTAAAACAACATATTGATCTTACATTGAAATTACAGAACACAGACATTCAGAATATTCAAGTAGCCAAAAATGGAATGTCAAATGTTTAAAAATCTGAAGATTGTAATAAACATTTTAAAAAAGAAAACACTGCAAATAGGATACCTAAAGCTTCAAAATTCAAAACATTGAGAAGATGCAAATGTAGGTCTCCAAAAATGATACACTATGAAAATCGGCAAAGTAAGCAAGATTAACAAGATGTACAAAGCACTCCACGAATTGTTAAAGACGTATAAGCAACACAGTTTGATTACAAACAAAATAGATACATATAGCGTAACGCGATTACCTTTCATTTAATCTACTTGGTGGCAGCAAGTAAGCGTTAACAAGAAGCTCCTACGGGACGAGGCGCGACGAGGTGAGGCGAGGTGAGGCGAGACGGGGCGAGGCGAATACGAAACGAGACAAGACGAGACGGGACGGGACGCGAGACGAAACGAAACGATCGTTTGTAAAAAAAAACACACAAGATGCGTCAATGCGCGCGTGATTGCTTCGACGCAGCGCCGTGTTGCGCGAAAATATTATAATATCACGATTGTCACAACAAAAGGACACTCGACGAACATGGCTGGTGACGGGCAATTATTCCGCCTCTCATGCACTCATACAGCATCCCGACCGAGGGACGTTCAAGCCGCGGAGGATTCCAGGACGACGATTTTAAGTTGCCGAGCGCGATGCGCGACTCGCGGAAACGCGCGATACACGCACGCCACTACGCGAAGGCACTGAGCGTAGCTTTTTTTACAAAATACGCGTCAAATCGAAGAAAAATACGCTACTAACAAGTGTCAGCCATCTTGGTACAAGTGATGCACAGGCCATTATCACAATACAATATAGTAGTACAACTCTACTGATTTAGTAAAACCTGACAGTCATGCGCACAAGACTGGAGAGTCTGGACATTTTTTGACTTTACTGATTTACGGAAATTAAATATGTTCAATTGTTAATTCACTTATGGCTGGTTTATGCTTCGGTCTTAATCTTAATCTTAGTCTTAGTCTTAACTTAATCTTAAGGACTCGTTTATGCTTCCCTGGAAATTCGGACTACGCATGTGCAAATGTAACAAAACCTAACCACTAATTTATTTTTATAATTTGGATTTTTTTTATTCCAAACAACATCGAATTGTTGGACACATTCAATTAAATCAGCATCACTCATTTTCGTATTTTACAAAAATCGAAAACCATTATTTCGCGCGGTTTCGTGCTGCGTCGGACGTCAGACTTATCTCATTGGCCCGGCCTTAGGACATTAGGGACTAAAGTTAAAAGATGGGATCTTTCCAAGATTAAGATTAAGACTAAGATTAAGACTAGGGAAGTATAAACGCCCTTATGGCATTCTACGTTATCAACTCTTAAGATTAAGATTAAGACCGAAGCATAAACCGGCCATTATATATATTATAACACGAGATAGGAAAATTTATTTGACATTTCAGACTATCAAATTACTAAATACAGCGCCGTATAGCTTCGAAAAAACATGCAATCGCATCCAAAGGTTTTGCATGGTATTGCCATCTAGCGTCCAAGTGTTTATGGCACACAATTACTAGAAGACGGCACCAATAATGGCCGGTTTATGCTTCGGTCTTAAGGCCGGAGCACAGACTTTTACATAAAGCATAACGCATAAGCATAAGGAAATTGATTGGTCTATATATAAGCAT